GGGATGTTGGTAAACAGGGCTGGTTTTACAACCACATCCAAGGGCGGATTGTTTCGGAGCATCTCCCAGCACTGGAGCAGGCTGCTTCCTGGCTGTTGGCATTACAGAGAAGCCTGAAGGGCTGGCCTGTCTAAAGTCATTTGCATTCCTTGGTTGGTTTGACTCTGGCAGCTCGGGAAATTGGTAATTTACATCTGTGGATTTAGCAGGAGCAAAATGAAAGGCAGCATCCAGGTCTTGGCAAGGGGCTGTGTGAGAGTCAAGGCTGGCAATCGGGAGGGCAAGTTGTTTGCCTGCAGGCTGGTGCATGAGGAGATGAGAGTCCTGTTTGAGCACCTCATCATGGGACCTGCTGAAGGGGCAGGACCTGCCCGTGGCCCCCAGTTTTATTTGTTACCTGGAGCCCTGTGTGCTGTGGGAAGCCTGGCCTGTCTCTGCACAGGGGAGCAAACAGAGGGAGAAAGAGCCAAAAGCTGGAATCTTTGGCGATGTAGCAGGGAGGTACAGCAGGCATCAATCCCAGCCACTCTGGCTTAGAGTTTGGCTTTCCAAAATGAATTGTTAAGCGACAAGGCACAGAGGAAGGATTTTGGAGCCAGCTCAGAATGGGGAGGAAGGTTTTCAGGACTGTAGTTGCCACTTGGAGAGGTTTTGAAGCAGTTTCTAAATGTAGCTTTTGGATGATCTTTAAAATGGTGAAGAGAAAGCCACAAAGAGCTGGTTGTGCTGGCAGAGAAGACTTCTGAGCAAGGCCACCCCGTGCTTTTGATGGGTCTGGCTGGGAGAACAGCAAAGGGGAGCGCATCTAGCCTGATTCTGGAGAGCCCTTCCCTGCATCCTTGGACCACTAGCTGAGAGATTTTAGCCTCAGGAATTTTCTTTAATGTTGTATTTTCTCTTCCTGCATTTTTCCCTCTGTGTTTTCTCTCTTTTCCAACCCACCTTTTCATTGCCCTCATTCTTGCTTAGCTTTCAGCCCCTCTCACCCAACCTTCTCCCTTCTGCCTCTTTTCTTTAGAAAAACAAGCTGTGAAGCTGTTGCCGTGAGCAGCTCTCCCAAGCAGAGGCTGTTAGGGCTCTGTAGCTGCTGAGAGGTTTGGGTCCAGGTGTAGATTCACTTAGATTAGTAGATGTGGATATGGGAAGAGAGTTACGAACTCCAGAGAAATTAAAGGACCCTGCTGAGTGGCACTAGTGCAGGGGGAGCTTGGAGAGCACAGCAGGGGAAGCATGAGTGGTTTCAAAAATAAAAAAGGGTATCATCAAGTCTTGGCTCCCCTCTGTACCTCTCCAAGAGGACCCTGCACCACAGCCCTGCTTCACCATCAGCATGGGAACTTGGATGCTATTAGGCAGTTCATTAGTAAAACCTCTAGGCAGTTCCCACTGCCGTTGAGTACCCACTAATGCCTCTTGAAGAGAGAGGAGAGCATTGGAAAAGCACAAAAACAATCCGAGGGTCCTTGATTTCTTTTTTGTGAAGTCAATGGTCTGAAGCTGGAGAGGCAGCTGGGAGAAGAAGAGGGGCCGGACAGGGACGCCAGGCATGAAAGCAGCACTACGCTTATCTGCCGAAGCCTTCAGTGGAAAAACATAACCCGACTTGAACTGTTACTTCTCAAAGGCCCCCGGGGGGTGCTTTGGGGTTATAAACACCTACTCACCCACCTGCCTTGTGTGCATTCTGAGCCAGGTACTCCTGCCCCAGAGGGAAAGCCAGCAAACCCTGCGCAGATGTCCCTAACAGCTGCAGCTGGGCTGCGGTAAACCACCCCTGCTGCTGCGGTTTATTAGCACCGCAGGGTCTGTCCCCTTCTCCTTGCCTGCTTGTGTGTATAGTCAGCTGTGAAAGGACACTGACATCACTTAATTAATGGTTTAATTGAATCGCACAAAGGGATCGAAATAGGCTGCCTGACTCTTGTCACTGAGATACTCACCTAAGAAATAGTAAATCACCAATTCAGCAGATGAAGCTGCAGCTCTAGGTAGAAAATCCTTGTTGCTAGAGGTAGGGAAATAATTCCTCTTTGCAGATAATATTTTAGGGATGAGGCTGGGAGCTATTTTTTCCAAGCCACCAGGTTCCATCTATGTCCAAGGGAAGGGTAACTGCGTTAGACTAACTCGCCGCGTGGTATAGTACTTAGTAAGAAATAAACAGACCTGAGGCAGCATTTTATCTGTAAGTCAGAAGACTGTTCTGTGTTTCACCGTCTAGACGATACAGAAAGGTCCATGTGGTATTTTAAAAAGGAGAGTAAAACCCTAGAAAGGCCAGGGTTGAAGCTAGAATGAAGCTTTGTGGTTAGTAGCAGCTTCTGAGCTTGTTTCATGGAAAAAGGCTTGAGAGTAGGGAATCAAGAGTTAGGAGGGAGTGAAAATTATCCCAAAGCAATGGGGAAGACCAAAGAGAAAAGATGTGACCCTAACGAGGGTGCTAATGCTGTGGCCGTGCTACTGACAAGTAAGTAATTGCTGCTCAGGAGGAATGTGAACCAGCAGCAAACAGCGTTCCACCCGGGTGCCAAGGAAAGCAATTAGAACTAGTAAACACCAGTGGCTGACTAAAACCAGACCCTTAATTAATAGTTTCATCTGCAGGGCAAGGAAATCATTAAGTGCTATTGGTGTCTATTAATTCCCTGCAAGATGAACAACAATAGAGTTTTAAGACGTCTTTCACTGTACAGCGTGTGCAGCAAGGAGTGACTGAGCTCTTTTCTGCAGCTGTGCTCTCCTGCTTCGCTGCCGACTGGCCCGGAGGCCTGGGATGTGCTGCACAACGAGCAGCTCAGAGTGAGTGTTTTAAGTTAGGATGTGGTTTTTGGGATGCTCCACTGAGGCAGGAGAGAAGGATGGGTGGAAAACGTGGTTTCAAGAAAAATCTGCACAGCTGAAGTATCATGCTGGAGAGCTCAGGAAAGGTACATGAAGTTGAGGGTTTAGAAGGGAAATCTTTTGTGATACCGTGCACATCCAGCCACTGAACCATGAATAGTGTCAGCCTCCTCTGTCCAGCTCACACTGCTATGTAGGTGTCAACTGGAGGAAGAAGTAGAGGTAGCTATCACAGCTAGGCAGGGCAGACAGGGAGATAAAACTTCCCACTGTAGAAGCAGTGGTGATGCCTTGGTACAGTTCATAAAATGTTCACAAATGCTCAGAAACCAAGAGCATTAAGGAGCAGCCTTTACAAAGGGCACAGCCTTGATTCTAAGTCTGGTAAGACAAAGATTTATTCTTGTTGCTTTCAGAATCTCAAGTCCCTTGCTTATTTTTCCCTGAATTTCATGAGGACACACATCTTGTTTTTCAATTTGTTTGATCCTCTTTACCTGACGTGGGCACTTCTGCATTGATGCAGCGAGCGGCTTGTGGTAGAGAACGGTGGCGTTTGGTTTTCTCAGCATGTTAGCATGTCACAGACAAGCCCGCCAGTGTAGACTGGCTCTCCTCCTTTCTCAGGGCTGGTCACTGTGCTCCGCACAGAAACCAGTCCAGCCTCACCAGGAGGCTGATCGGTGTTCCCATACGCCTCTCCGGTACACAGAGAGTCAATCTTTGCAGTTTATAGCTGACCTGGTAGCTTCTCTGTAAAAAGAGGAACAGGAAGTCACTAGAAGCTCAGCTGTGTGTCAAACAGCTATGGAAGAAGCTCCATCTTCCTCACTGTCAAATCTGTGACAGCTCAAGGAACTTCCCTTTAAGATAACCTGCCCTCTATTCAAATTCAGACAGTTAGAGTAAGGTACGGGATTCGTCTGAATGTTGTTTTCTTCTCTTCTGTCAAAAGCAACTCAACAGGCTCTTCTAAGCAGACTGATTTCTTTCACAACCTGCCGTATGCCATTCAGCCCCGTGAAGGAGGTTCACTGCCTTGTTGCCATGGTACCCTTTCTCTAAAGAGGAAGAGAATGGTTAATTATGCAATTTAAGAAACTAAGGAGGAATGACAGAGAGAGAAATAATAGAAAGGAAGATTCTGGGTTTGTGATAGAACTGTTGGCCGCACCAAAATACACTGTTTGCTGGTGAAATATTTGCCGAGTATATCCTGTATGCAGGCAGGGCTTCTCTGGCAGCGTGGATTTTAAGGAGGTGCCCTTTGCAGTGTGCCTCTGCCACCCAGGGAACAGTTACTGTTGTTACTGACCTTGGTTAATGCTCCCAAGAGCCGAGGACATATTTCCTTGGCAGAAATTCTATCTGTATGGAGCTGGGATAGCCATCATACATCACAGACCCATGACAAGCTCATGCTGCAGAGGTACAGTTCAAGACTTAAGTGTTTTAAATCTCCTTGGCAGCATTTCATTGTTCCTCAGGCCTACTAACAACCTGGCTTGCTTTCCCCAGGACCCCAGAAAATCCCGTTTGAGTTGCACAGGCGGAACCAAAGGGACCGTGAGCATCACAGCTGGCAAGATCCCAGCTCCTTTCAAAGGACCAGCATTGCCCACTTGCCAATAGCACAAGCAGGCCAGCTACAGCTTGGGCGAAACAAAGCGCCAGGAACGGATCCAGACTGCAGCGCTCCGTGCGGTGCCAACAGAGGGAGTCGCCTGTCGCATGGCACACTGAGCTCTGCGAGCTGAGAGAAGGGGAAGAGCTACCCCATGCTTAGTTTTCAAACGTTTGCAATGAAAGAAGGAAGATAAGGTGACCCCATGCAGGTGTTTACTACAGAGGAGTAAAAGGAGATCTAGACCTCAAGCTCCCCTTCACCTAATGAGGGCAGTAATAGCATGGAGGACCAGACAAGAGCCACATACAGAGGTAAGTGGAAGAGAACAGTTGAGAGGCAATAATAATCCAAAATACTTCTGGAAACAGCAGGAACCACTGTCAAAAGACCAACGTTTTAATCAACAAACTTTGTACACAAGAGGCTTCCCACTATGGGAGTTCACATATTTCTTTTACCACCAAGTTCTACCACCTGAGCCTTTAAGGCCCAAGACGGTCCTTCTTCTTCCAGCTTCCCTCGACAGGTATTTCCAGGGAGAGTGGCTTTCCAGAATCTTGTCACAGGAGCAACATTCAACCCAGTCCCTGTTGCATGAGCTGATGTTGAAAGCTGTGTGTCTTTTCCACTCCCCTCTCACATTCGCCTGGCTTTCCGTGGGCGGCAGCCGTTGTGTGGAATTGGGGTGTTGTCGGTGATGGAGATTACCTCCAAACCTCCCATGGTCAAACCCTTGATGGAAGCCTGTTAGAACAAGAGAGCAGGTGACACGCTGTTATTGACACATGGAACAGCAGAGAAGGGAAAAACCTCAGGGGGATAGTTTGGTCCCTCATCTGAAAATCAACTTGTTAAAATGGTTCTACTTTGTAATTATCTGAAGTAATTCATATCAGAAAACCCAGTTTAAACCTTTCTGCTCCAGACTTCTCATCAGAGTTTCCATCAATTCTCCCCCTTTAGTTGGAGGAAGTCCCAAGTAGAGCTTTCATTCTGCCTCCAAAGTGATATTACTCTAACATTCTAACGATTCTAAAATTTCACTCTTAGGCACTTGAGAGATGAATTCTTCACATCACCTTCAGAAAAAAACAAGTTAGCAGAGGTATAGTCATAAGACCAGCGTGAATTAAAAAAACCTAGATGAGCAAAATATGAAAAGAAACTGACACTCACCTTGCGTCCTGGTCCCAGTCCTTTCACCATGACTCGGACATGCAACACACCCTTCCCACGTGCTTTCTGCAGAAGAACAACTGGTTAGTGTTCACTTTGGTATAACTACTGCTGTTCTGGCTCCCCTGGAGTCCTTTGTTCCCTTTGGACCTACTACCATAGGATCCTTTAAGTAAAAGTAAAGAGTAGGTAGCAATAGATATAGAGACAAATATAGAGACTATTGCACAAAGACACAAGGAGATAAGGAGGCCTGGACACAGCTGTGAGAGTTTCAAGAAAACTTCTCCAGTAGGCTGTCGGCTCTGTGTACAGAGAAAACTTAAAGATCAAACTACCTGTGACCTATAGCCAGGGCAGAAAATGGCATATTCATGGATACATGACCGACCTGGCAAGGGACTAACAAGGACTAACTCAAAGCTGTTTTCCCTTCTCTAGTGCAGAAATTTCTCTCCTGACGTCAGTGGATTCCTTCTAGAGGGTAAATGAGAAAAGCCGGCAAGCTTTGTATTTGCTGTGCAGGACTCCACAACTTCAGTGCAAAAATTCTAGGGGCTTGCAAATTGAAAATGAAAAACACCTGCTATAAAGCACAGCCGTGCTGCCACCAGGTGGATGAAGCTCCTCTAGGTCTCTTGCTTTCTGTGTTCTGGTGCAATTAACATACTAACAATTTTAACAGTGACAGAATAAATCTGGCCCAGCACAGCTATGCACCTATCATGAGGCTCGGATGAGCACAGATTAATAATCAAGTTGTTCTCACGTTCCTCTGAGTCAAGCACAATAAGCTGTTCGTCAGCAGCGGCATCTGACACAAAAGGCTGGAGTGAGTTCCACCTCATTTAGGATGAGGATTTTCAGTTTAACCTTGCCTCGTTCTGCAGTAATGAGGACAGTGACACAGCCAGCCTCATCTTCTCCTGCCACGTGGACACCCACAAGTTTTTTTAGAAACAATTACAGTAAACTATGCAGCCAGAAACTATATGTGCAAGGACATCACCTTCTCTGACTGGAACTACTGTTCTCCTGTGGCAGAGAGCAAATATAAAACATTCCAGCAGTAATTACAGCCGCTTCTTAGTCTCCTACAGTGCAAAAATAGAGCTGCTGCTCATTCAGGGGCTACATTTCCAAAATTGCTGAGATGTTCACTTAGGAAAAAAGGAGCTATGCAAACTGGCGTTAGAAAAGGACAGGCTCCAAGTTACATTTCCTAATCACAACATGCACAACTGCGTTAACCCTCTGGGCCCTTCTAACTGCTGTTTCAGACACACTTTGTCTGTGTGAAGATGTGCTGTGTGTGTCAGGTGAAGCTAGGGAAACTGGTAGCAAACAGCAGGGCACTGCTTGAGCAATAAGGAACAGAGCGAGACGTCCCCAGGGAGCTGGGGGAGGTGGTCAGTGTTCCCCTCTGGGAGGACGAGAATCATCACTGCAGACTCACTGCTGCTGCTGCCATGGCTGCCGTCTGTGCTGCGATGGCAGTTCCCTTCTTGGCATTCTGGAAGCCCTCTGTGCCACAGGACGTCCGGGCAAACGGCCTGTTGTCAAAGCTGACCACTTGGATGTGGGTGCTACAGAGAGGAGCAAAAGAAAGAAACAAGTGAGAACAAACCTTTATTCTCTGCTTTCCTCTCACTCACCCTGCTGGCAGAGCTTATCACAAGACTGTTGTCTTCAAGCCACTTTAACTCAGCACTCCCTTTTCAGGTATCCCACTTACATGAACCTGTTGCAGAGACCTCAAGCAGTGACCTTGTCACCCTAGAGAACTTGAGCAAGGTTCTTCCTGGAAAAGGTGTGTATATAAATCTTACCCAGGTACACCTCAGATACCACTTAGCCTTTCCAGACCTTGCTCTTACTGTGAGCATTTTACATCTTACATTTATTAAAAAAATGCACTTCTGGAAAAAAAAAAGGTTAAAGAAATAGTAAAGTATTACGCTGGGGATCATTAATGAAACACAATTGTCTCTCATGGAGAGTATGACAATTTTTCCAATAGCTGCATGGCAACAGTGCTAGAGCAGAGGGCTGGAAGTAGCCTGCCATTAGAGCTATCAGCATCTAACTATTCATATCAGAATGTAATCAAATCAAATGTAATTATCGCTGTTAAATGCGCTGTAAGGACAGTTACACTTCCTGAACAGCACTGAGGCTTGAGTTCAGCATCATCTTCCCAGTCAAGTACACCATGCCCCTGGCTTTCTTCCTTTAAGTCTTTTGATCAAAATGATAACTGGCCAAATCCAGGTATGCTGTAAGCTTTTATTTTACATAAGAGCAGGAAGCAACTCATTTGCTTACTTGTTGTACGTAGCTTTAATGTGAGCTATTGGGATCTCTTCATAGGTCTTTCCATCCCATCTCATGGAGTTCCTCTGCAGGATTAAAGGGCTGAGAGGCAAAACAAGAGTTATCAGGTGCTCCCTTTTTAAATTTTGCCAAGTTTTGTTTTATAAAGAAAAAAAGAAGGGATTGAGTCTCCAAAAGACACAAGCTGTGTTTGTGATTGAGTCAAGCCACTTCCTTGCCTTTCTGGGCTGAAAAACCATCAAAGGCGATAAAACCTCACAGCCTGCACTCCCAAGCACAGCGATGCACAGGTGACTTCAGAAAGCTACCTTTCGCTGTAAAGGAATATCAGGAGGAGGAGGAGGAAGAGGATGTTTTCTAACAACAAACTACACAAACGAAATGCCTCCCAGCGAGAAGCAACCTGGCCTAGCGGGAGGTGTCCCTGCCCACGGCAGCGGCGCCGGAACGAGATGCTCTTTAAGGTCCCTCCCGAGCCAAAGCAGTCTATGATTCTGTGAAACGGCAGAGCCCTCCCGGCGCGGCCTGGCCCCCTCTCACCTCAGGTCGGTCTCGCTCTGGTTCTCCGCCTCCTTCGCGGCCGCCGCCCCCGCAAGGTCCTGCAGCCTCCGGGG